ACCGGGATGACAAAGGCGAGGGTCTTGCCGGAGCCGGTCTTGGACGCGCCGAGGACATCGTGGCCACAGAGCTGTAGCGAGGGGCGCGCTTGGATCTCACTCATCTTAGTGAACCCCGCCTTCCAAGCCCGTGCCTTGGTCTTCTGCGGCAATGGCAGCTCGTCGAAACAGTGTGCAACGCCAGACTCGGGGGTGCTCCCCCGTCAGCCGGCCGCCGCGCCCGGTCCGGTGATTGGATTCCGGCGGGGTGGGTCTTGTGGGAGGGGCTTGCGGCGCCGATCCATTCGTTGAGGAGGCGGATCTCGTCGACCTCCCAAGCGATTACTATTCGCCATGGCGTGGCGCTTGGCGGCGCATGGCGGCTACTAGGGTTTAGGGTTCCCGGAAGTAGGGCTGGAAGGTTCTAGAAGACGTGCAGCTCCGGTGCCAGGGTTTTTAGCCCGGACGGGATTTGGCTATTTGAGGCTGGCTTGACCGCTACTCCTGAGGCCTGAGGCTGGAAAATGATTGGCAAATATTCTCTCGTGTTCAGGTATTCAGATTTGCGAAATTTTGATAAAGAAATCGTAAACACATTTTTGTTTACACGAAGGACCATTATAAATTTGCTCCAAAGCGACGAGTTAGACACGGAGTACGTGGCTAGAGTGTCAAGGTGTAGTGTGTGGGTAATAATGAAGAATGTGCGTGGATAATGTGGCAACATATGCATGTAATTAACATATGCTCAGTTTCAGTTTCATCAGTTAAACATGATCTCATCATGGTTAAAAAAGAAAGAAAGAAAGAAAGAAAAGACAATCATAATCCCCTGCTGAAAAGTGTGGTCGCCTCGCGGCGTGGCCTGCCTCTCCCCTCCCTGTGGTAAAACAACTGACATGAGTCTACTCTAGCACTCTATCTCACCTAGCTAGTGTACCGTGGCAACCCTACCTGACAACTGATCTCAAAGTAAATGAAGTGTATGGCTTGGCTGCCCCAAGGGATATTATAATTTCGCTCTTGTTTGAAAAAATCAAATGGTATTAGAATTTACTGGCGTGTGTTGATATCCTATTTCTATCGACTATTGTTAGAGACTTTGGTTGTTGCTTCGTTGTCGTTATCATTTTGACTCTTTAAGTTGTTGTTTCATTATCATGTCCAGTTTGTTTTTTGAATATATTTTGCAGCTCAACTGTTTAATTCGCTTAAAATATATAATATTTTTTTAATTTTATTTTTTCATAACATTATAAATTTTTGATGATCTAATGACATGCGATACAAGGTTGCACTTGTGGCTGTTGTGTTGTGCCACTTAATGTCTTGATAACTTGTGAAATCCAAAGGCATGTAGTAAGTACCATTTTGTGGTCAGTGGAGGAAGATCCTTTTGTATTCAAATCCATAAAATTTTATGCTACTTTCTTCGTTCTAAATTATAAAATGTTTTGTTTTTTATAGATGTTTTACTATGTATTTAGAATCAGTGTATATATAAATCCATAGAAAAAGTATGTATCTAGAAAAGTGAAAATGTCTTATAATTTCAAATGGTAGGAGTATTCTCTACGAAACGAACAACTTTTATAGGAACACTTTTGAGCATACACATTAACACGAGGCATGGATTAGTTATAGATCATGGCAAAAAAAACTTTTAATGAATACAGAGCACTTCAATAAAAGCTACTAACCACTAAGATGGAATTGCAGTTGCGGCTATGGCAACATCTACCAAACAAACCCAACATGATGGGGATATAGATATCCTTGCTAGACACTCGGCTAATAAAGGACCAATTACATGAGCTTGTGCACGTCGTTTGAGTCGTGAGGTGAATTTGTTACTCTCGCTTTATAATATGATCTTGTATGTTATTGAACTCTTGTGATATTCTAATCATAATGAACATGGGAGTAACTATGGATGAGTCAAGTCGTGTGGAGCTCCTATTGATTTTAACTCGGAGTTGAGTTCGGTCCGTAATTAGCAGATAAACCTGTACTGAACCGGCTATAATTCCTCATATGGAGTCCAATTAAGACGTTCTTGGATGTGTTGAAAAGCAGCAACAACTTTTGGTTTTGATTTATGCTCCTTTCGTTTGGCTGATAAGTCATGGCTGAAAATACTGTTGACTGATTTGTTGTGAGAGAAAAATATTATTCGTTGGCTAAAAAAATACGGCTTATAAGACAAGCGAACAGGGCGTTAGCTCCAGATTCATCGTGAAACATTTTGTAAGTGTATATGGGTCCAACCGTCCAAGCTTAAGTGTGGGCAACCCTCCTCACCCCTCGTCGCTCACAACCATGCGATGAGCCCTTTTTTCTATGTAGTAACTGTCATGCATTCATCTACGTGCCAATTTGACTAAAATGAGATAATGAAGATTGAAATTGATAGAATTATAATATTACTTTCGTTTTTAAATTATAGAATGTTTTGGCCTTTTTTACATACATTACATATAGCATATAATTGGGTTATATATTTAAAAAACTAAAACTGACTTATAATTTGGTAGAATGCTACTTAATGCTGAATTTTATTCTCACGAAATAAAAATTCAAAAAATTCTTGTGCTCCTACGTGCATGTGTCCTAGTGAGTGGTCTGTGCTATGAGGGTGTCCCTAATAATCGAGCTTAGAGCTAGCTGAATCAATTTTTATTCGTTTAGCACTGCAAAAGACAAGAGGTTAGTGTGGATTGTGGAGTAAAAAAAAAATAGTCTCACATGTTTCGCAATGTTTCTGTCTCTTACAATATGATATAGCTTTTTTTTTTAGAAGATACAATATGATATAGCTGTTATTAGAGGAAATTATTTCCTTGGCCCTAAAGAAAGTGCTGCTTAGTTTCTTGCCCTCTTTTCTTTCAGACTTGCTTATTTGGCCCTAAAACGAATTTCCTTTGATTTTTTGGCCCTTTCGATAGTTTGATGGGCTAATGTTGTTAAGCTGCATGTGAAATTAGTGTTTTACCCCTCACGTCAAAAGCAACAGTTCAGCAACCTATAGTTGCGCTATACAGGTCTTTCAAACTTTACTAAGTTAATTAGCCCACCATAAAAGTTTCACCACAATTGGACCATAGAAACTTCAGTTATGAATTAATTATAGAAAAGTATAGATCTAAAGCTACAACAAAAAGTTTGTACGAAAGCATAGCATATTATATGTTCACTGTGTAGATCTACTCGTGTGGAGTCCAACGAAACTAGATTTTCATTTTATGATTTTTCTGTGAGTTACTATGATTTTTTAAAGATTCAACCGAAATAAATAAAAAAGATAAAGATAAAATCATCTTTGAAAACCACTTATAACCGGTCAGGGAGGTAAAACGAACAGTTTTAAAAATTCAAAGAGGTGGTTTACCTGATTTTAGAGTTTAGGGAGGAAAAGCAGACTTTCACAAAAGTTGAGAAATGTTTTGTGGACTTTTTCCTTCATTAGGATCAAGAAAATAATTTTCTCCTATTATTATTTTTTTTGAAAAAATAGCAGGAGCACTGCTGTTCCATATAAGAAGGAAGCAAAGTCAGGCTACAGCAAGTTTGGCTTACATTCCGATGACCATTACTCGAACACAAAAAACTGTAAAAGAACAAGAGTGTCTTGTCAACCTGTTCGTTCAAACTTATCAGCCGGCTTATCAATTAGAATCTACAGTGTTTTTCTCTCACAACAAAATAACTTCAGCCGGCTTTAATACCAGCCGAATAGACCCTTCTAGTTGCTGCACTAAAAATTCCGAGCTCTTCCTCGATCAGCCCCAAGACCTGAGCCGGTGTTCGTGTCGATTGCGCTCTTTCATGTTATTGGGCCTGTTCGGCTGGTACACTCATTTAAGGATGGCAACGGGTCGGGTTCGGATCGGGTGGAGTCTCCGCACCCCAAACCGAAACCCGAAATCGACATTTTGGAAATCCGCCCTAAAAAACCGATTCGTGGAAATCCATCACCAAAACCAAAACCATGGATATTGAAACCCGAATGGATACCCGAAACCCGCGGATATATATACACATATTCACATGTATAAACAAGAGGCAACAAATAATAAATATTTTCATGAGTCAACTTTAAATAAATTTAATAATCTAAGTAAACAAATTATTATTAGTATATTATAAAACATGAGTTTTAATTCCAAATGATTTATTTTCGGATATCCATTGGATATCAACGGGTGGAAAAACAAACTTTTAAAAATCGAAGGTGGTTTCGAATGGTTTAGGGAGGCCCCACTTTCACAAAAACCGTGGGTGAAAAAACTGCTTTTCCTAAAACCGAACCTCAAACCGAGATGAAGGAAACCCATGGATATTACGCCCCAAACCCGATCCGTTGCCATCCTTACACTCATTTACTATGTACTAACTTGTTCTGATTGGTTTTTGCTAATTTAATAGTGTTCTGTGAGAAAAAATAAACTGAAATAAGCTGAGACAAGCCGAGCCGAACACGCTGATTATCTCTTGCTGTGACCTTTGCCGGCTCAAAACTTGTGCTAACTTACGCCCCGTTCGGCTGGGAGCGGCTGGCTGGCTGGGCTGATCAGCCTTCTCAAAAAAACACTGTTCATATGAACCAACCAACAATACTTCTCTCACGTAAACGAACCAGCAACGATACGAATCAGCCAATCGAACGAGCTGTTATACTGGGAGAGACGCTAAAGCTCGTGGCCCGTGACCCGTGACCCGTTACTCATCATCCAAATAAGCTATCCGGATCTGTTCCCGGCCAATGGCCAAGATATTTTGCAGGCAAAAGCGTCTCTTCCCCGGTCTCCATCCATCGATGGATACGCCTCTTCTTTATTTATGTGCGCACATGGGTCCGCACATGCCGACCAGCAGCCCCGCAACTTGGAGCAGCAAGTTGCATCCAATGGAGGAGTAGCAGCCAGTGTCACCGACTCACCGTCACACTCACGCACACTATTTGAAGGCAGGGCAGCAACCTGACGGCCAATTACTCAGCCACAGAACAGGTTCCGCTCGCCATGGATTATTATTACGAAATGGAGGAGCATCCAGGATTCCGGCCGTGGCAGTGGCGCCACTTCTCCCTCCTCTCGTCCCAGCCGGAGCTGCTCCCGCCGCGGCGGCCGGCCAACCATGTCAGCTGGGAGGAGACCGCCGCCGCGCACCTCTTCTCCGCAAGCCTCCCGGGTAACCCACCCCACTCGATCCCTGACTCGCGCGTGCTGCTCGCCGTCGTCGGTCGGTGCAGCCAGCCAGCCAGCTGAGCTGAGCCGAGCCGAGCAAGGTCGCCTTCTTCTTCGGTTTGCCTAATAGCAGTTTCGTTTGTGGCGTTGACGCTCGCTTCTGTGTGTCCGTCAGGCGTGCGCAAGGAGGAGATCAGGGTGGAGGTGGAGGACGCCAGGTACCTCGCCATCCGCACCGAGCTGGACGCCGCCGGCGCGGGCGCGAGGAGCTTCGACCGGAAGTTCCGGCTGCCGGGGATGGTGGACGTGGACGGCATCTCGGCGGCGTACGCCCACGGCGTCCTGACCGTGACGGTCCCGCGGATGCACACCCGGGCAAGGCCTGTTGCCGACGTCCTCGGCGCCGGGCCGGCCCGCGACCACGCGGCCCGGGCGGCCTGATTCGTGATTTATAGCCTTCTTGTAGCATGTACGTTTTGATTTGGTTCATCCAATTGCAACTAATTTGCTTGTAAAAAATGCAACTTATTTGTGATTGTGAACATTGGTCTGATCAAAATACTCTCTCCGTACAAAAATAAATAAATAAATAAATATATATTGCTGTTTGAGGATTCAACAAATTTATAGAAAATAGACGAACTAAGGTCTCCACTGACTCCACATTGGAGCAGCTCCATCGTGGAGTTTCTAGAGCAAATGTGCATGTTTGGCATACAGCCATGCTCCACCCTTGGTGAAAGGAGGTTTTGGTCATCTGGTGGGATGTCCCTCTATGCCCTTGGCATGTGCCTCCACCTGGCTGTTGTCCGGCGTCACCTCGCCTACTCCTCAGCCTAGCTGCCGCCAACGACACCACATCCGGGTTGTAGCAGGGAGCACTGGTCCAGCGTCAGCACGCCCCACCACCGCACGGAGCACAGCGGCACCACCGCGCAAAGCACCATCGCCACGTACAGCGGCACCACCACACACAGCACTGGCGGTCAATCGATCTGCCAATACTCTTGGGGGTCGCAGAGAGCGGGAGGTTTGTTGATGCCACCGCAGCAGGGCGCGGCAGGGAGCCAACGGCGGCCGCGGTGGCCACGGGATCTCCTCCTTCGGCGTAGACGTGGTGGCCTGGCGGAGTCCCGGTGGCCACCGGATCTCCTCCTCCGGCGGCGTCCTCTTCGGCGGTGGCATCAAAGCGGGACGCACACACCTCGGTCATGGACGGCGTCGCCTGCGCGCGTGGTGCCCTCGAGCTCGACGGCGGCGGCCTCCTCAGGCGTGGCAAATCCCGGCCATGGCGCAAGCGTGGAGGGGAGGGGGAGGGGCGCGGGCGGTGGCGGTGGGGCCAAGCGACCGGTGGCGGCGCTGTCGACCGCGGAGGGAGAGAGGAGCGCGACGGGGAAGAAGGTCGGACAGAAAGAAGGGAAAGGAACCATTTTTTTCAACGAGTGACATTGGTGGGTAATATTCCCACGGCTCCACGAGGAGGTTCAAAACTTAGGGTTTGTAGAGTATCTTTGAGGTGCTCCAGGAAAAACCCTAGAGTTTTAGGAGTTGGAAGTGTTTGACTAGACAAAGTTAGAGCGGAGCTGTAGAACTGGAGCAGAGCATACTCAAATAGGCTCTAAAAAGAGTCGTTTGTGGTGACTTAGCTAATCTTGAGATTTGCATGCTCGGTCTAAGCTTAGATTTGCTATGAAAATACAATACATGATTAAACGAATGATGATGAGTATCATAAATATTAATATATTTTTATATGTTTGGTAAAATTTAAGATTGGTTGCCTCCTTGGAATACAAGATGGGTATTTATTTTGAGATGTAATAACGATGAAAAAAATAGAAGTCCTGCAACCAAGAGTTCCGCATATCAACGAATGGGGGTGTTTGGTTCCACCCCTAAACTTTAGTCGCTATCCCATCGGATGTTTGAGCACATGCATAGAGTATTAAATATGGACTATTTACAAAACTAAATGCTAAGATTGAGACTAATTTGCGAGATGAATTTATTAAGCCTAGTTAGTCCATGATTTGATAATATGTGCTACAGTACACATGTGCTAATGACGGATTAATTAGGCTTAATAATTTATCTCGCAGATTATTAACGGATTCTATAATTTGTTTTTTATTAGTATCAAACACCCATACAACATCCATATGACATCTGATATGACACCTTTTAAACTTTAGTCGCAGCATTTAAACACCCTCGGCATCAGTCAAATCACTGATGTCGGATGATATGAATATGATTGTAACGCACTAAAACACCGGTGGCGGGTGGTGCGCACCCTCAAGTGAGCAAATCTACTCCCTACCAACAAAGCTGCCGCCATGGTTCATGAGTTGAGTCTTGAGTGAAGCGTTGGGTTGTTCTTTTTTTTGGGCACGTGCCCACTCAAATGATCGGGTTAGGTTGGTCTAGCTATTTCTCGTTCCTATATTGGATCGGGTTGTTGCATGTTGAAAACTATGATCCGAATCCACCCAATGTACTAGTCAGGTCAGCTGGCCCAGGACAGAATCTAATCCTAGACATCTAGGGGGTGTTTGATTCGTTAGTCGCTCATAAAATTTATGTCACATCGAATGTTTAGATACTAATAAAGAGCATTAACTATAAATTAATTATAAAACCAATTACATAGATGGAGCCTAATTTACGAGACGATTTTTGTAAGCCTAATTAAGTTATCATTAGCACATGTTTACTGTATCATCATGTTGTCAAATCATGGACTAATTAGGTTTAAAAGATTCGTCTCGTAAATTAGTCGTAAGTTGTGTAATTAATTTTGTAATTAATCTATATTTAATACTCCATGTATGTGTCTAAATATTCGATGTGACAAGAATTTTAGTAGCGTCTGTAGAAACCAAACACGGCCTTGGTTTTGGACGCATGGATTGGATTAGTCCTATCCATGGACTGGGTTCAGCGGATTGGAACCCAAGTCACAAGCTTGTGAATTGACAGGGGTTGGTTTAATTTCATTTCCAATTTCCATGGTTTGGTGGTCGATTTCGTTCTGGGTTGGGCTGGTGCGGTTTGGAGCGGGTTTCGGATGGCACTGTGTTTATCCATGCAGCTTTGTGGTGCATAGAGACGTGTCCCATCATAAACAAAAAACACACAAGCTCCAACCACTATAAGAAACCAGTCGGTGTTTCATACAAGCACCGGCAAGTAAATTTATAGTAATGTGCGTTAGGCTCGGATGGTGCGCTAAAGGACACAAGATTTATACTGGTTCAGGCTGAATATCCCTACATCCAGTTTGTTGCTGCTCGTGTTATTAGCACCGTGAATGGTTCGTAGTAGGGGATACAAACGATCGAGAGAGGGACATGTCCCAAGTCTCTGATGGAAGGGTTGAAAGGAAGCCAAGAGCTTGGTAGCAGCTTGACTATGTGTGTGTGTTGCGTTGTTTCGGTCCCTCTCATGCTGGAGGAAACACATCCCCTTTTATAGATGAAGGGGACGGCTTTACAAGGGTCAAGGGCTCAAGATGCGTCCTCTTCCTAGCCTTATGGCTCACTTCTACCCAGCCTCGTTACCCATTCTGATGGGTGCAAAAGGATGATAAGCGCCTACAATACTGTCGATGCTTCTGTAGAATGTCAGGATGGTTAAAGAATAGTGCCCTGCGTAGGGTATGGGCTATAGTACAGTGGTTTTGACTTATGAACCTCGCCCAGCCTTGCCCCGCACGCCTTCTGGCTCCTATGAGTCTCTGTCGGAGGGACGCGGAGTCGAGGTCCGGAGTAGCGCTGTGGGCAAGGTTCTTTGATTTGGTGGACCCGAGGGGTCGGGAAGCGGGCGCCGCTCCCTTGGGTCCATAATGCGGTGACGGCATGTCCGTCATTCGTGGAGATCACAAATCCTTTTCTAGAAGTGTAGTGGTTGTCGTGTATCTTCGTCAGGTTCCATGTCCCAGAGCTGAAGGTGGCGCCTACAACTCTACAAGGCGAGGAGTACGCACCTGCAATACCTTTTGGGCTCTGCGGTGCCCGGGAGGGTCTAAAGCACATGTCCAGTCATTCCCTAGCAGTACCTTTCCTGCCGGGGCGCAGGGTATGGTCCTTGAGGCCGTGGTTGACCCGAACGTCTTGTCTTGTCCTGTACCCATCATCATGGGGGAACGAGAGAGAAGTTATCAGGTAAGATGAAACCAGTCTCTGGACATCAAATGGGGCGAGGTTCGTCCTCGGTCGTCGGGTGAGGCGGAGCCCAGTCCTTATCCCTTGGGCGTGACCGAGCCCACCCCTCGGGGGTCGGGCGAGGCGGAGTGTATCCCTCAACCCTCGGGCGAGGCGGAGACTAGCCTTCACCCTCGGGTGAGGCGGAGGCTGTCCCGGCGTCGGGTGGGCGGAGGCCAGCCCTTTGCCCTCAAGCGAGGAGAGGCTAGCCAAAAGCGTTAGGCGAGACGGAGGCCAGACCCTTTGCCCTCGGGCGAAGGCGGGCTGGCCCAAAGGCGTCAGGCGAGACGGAACCTAACTTTCGCCATTCGAGCAAGGAAGGCAATGGGGCCCTTGTCCGTCGAAGTTTTTAACGTTCGATGGTTATTAGCAGGGTACCACGGTATTAGGTCCCCGACAGTAGCCCCGAGCCTCCGGTGATTCGGATAGAATCGCTTGGAGGGTGTTTGATTTCGTCGAGTCATTTTGCGGAGGGTGTGCGCAAGCGCATTCGATGGGTGTAGCCCCGAGCATCCGGTGATTCGGATAGAACCCGCTTGGGGTTGTATCGGACCCTCATGGGTAAGGTCAAGGGCTTAGTTTTTCATCAATCGGATATTTTTTTCGAGGGGTCGTGGTATCCCGTTCACGGGATCTCATTCGAGGCTGACCTAAGCGGGCTTGGCCTTGGATCGAGACCCAAGAATGCTTGGCGCCTTGATTTCAAATCGTTCGCGGACCCGCCCTCGGTTGGTGGCCATCGAGCTTCGGGCCCTAGGTGGGCCAAATAGAAAAAAAATCTTTGTGACTGCCTTCACAGGTGGGAAGAGTGTCCGGATTCACCGGGAAGGTGAACCGTCCACCGTGATTTTGGTGGGAAAGGATAGGACTGCGGGTGCGTGTCCCGCGACGTGACGTGGTGGTGCGTGGCGTGGCTTGAAGATCGAGATCGACGTTGCTTGCCTTCTTCTCGCGCCCGTCGCCCCTATAAAACCACGGGGTTCGCCCCCAAGGTTCCATATTTCACCCCCTTGCCTTTGCGTCTGAGACATCCGCCGCCAATCGCCCCAGCCTTCTGCGCTCGCACCATCACCGTCGACCGGCTTGTGTCCGTGTTGCAGCCGCCGTCAAGCTTGCGCTTGTCCCGTAGCCGCCGTCGATCTTGCGCCCACCTTCTCCCCCATCGCTTTAATGGAGTTGTGGGGCAGATCTAGCATCACCTCTTGTCGTTTGGAGGGCCTCGTCCGCCGTGGCCTTCTC